ATCTCACTTAGTGGAGTCTGGGGAGGGTAGTGTGTACGCAGACCTTACCCCTATCCTGGGGTAGAGAGGCTGTTTCCAAATAGACCCCCGACATCCTTCCCTCCAAGAACTTCGCACCTTGCTCTTGGGGAGACTCGAACTCACAACCTCTTGGTTGGAAGTGGAGGTTGCTTACCATCAGAGCAACCCCCTGATGAGTCTCAATGGAAGCAAAAAAAAAATACTAAGTAATTTTTTGTCATCTTCCTAAGCCTTAATGAGCAAAGTTACCCAGTAACTGTGCTGGTGGAGGTAGCAGATACTCGGTGGATTAGTCGAGGTGCATGCAAGTTGGTTCAAATACCACCGTCATTATAAAAAAAAAAAAAGAGAAAGAGAGGTAGAGAGAAAAGCTGAAAGTTGAACTTTTCTAGGCAAAATAGCTATGGGCGTTGTTATGAGTTATGTAAAGCTAATCTAGCATTTCTTGAACATGGTTCAACAATGTGACCATGATTTTTGAACTTCCGTACGATTCAGCTATCGTCGGTTTCCTGAGTTCTATTAAGATTTTTTTACTAATTATTTTTGTCTTCTAATCTTAGGGGTTATTTGGTTTACCGCATAATAATAAATAATAATCTCATTACAAAAATATAGCATGTACTTGGTAAAATAAAACTCTGCATAACTAAATACGATATATAATGATTTCCAGTATAAAACTCTACATAGCTAATGAATAGGTTTCCAATACTTTAAGTCACGTTATTAATACTGGCATAATTTGTGTGAAAACCTCTGTTAAGTATTATTTTACATGGTACAATGTGGAAAAGTAATACATGTATTAACGATACCTGGACAACAGTATAAAAAGATAAAAATACCCTTATAGTAGGCATGCCCTGCACAAAAAACCCTCTATTATTATTCAACATATAGCAATTTCAAAGTTATTAATTAATGTTATATTAACTATATGATTACCCATGCATAACTAATTCACCAAATGACTGCTTATTGTTTCATCATTTATCAAGTTCTTTTAGAACAATCTATATAGAGACTGATGGATGCTTTATTCCTCTCTCTTGTTTTCCCTCTTCTTCCTGTTGGCCTGCAGTAAAGCTTCAGATTATTACGTCTGAAGGAGCAAGTGGTGACTATCCTGGTTGCACTGATTTAGCATACACAAAGGCTGCTTCCGATGGTGCAGATGTTCTCAACTGTCCTGTCCAAATGACTAAAGATGGAATACCTTTCTGTCTTGGTTCGATAAATCTGATAGACAAGACCACTGCAGCCCAATCGCCATTCAGCAGCATTACTACCACTGTCCCTGAGCTTAAGATAACAAATGGAATACTCACTATCAACCTTACTTGGACCGAGATTCAAAGCCTGAGACGTAAGTTGAAGCAACTGTTAGTTTGTAGTGCTAAATTGTGTGGCTTATCATGTTTCACTCCTACTATTTCATGCCTCCGCGTCTGTGCGACGCCATCTGTATCTAACTTTCTATATAAAAGAAAAATGGAAGATTGCATGCCTCTATAAATTTTCCCCTGCTTGCCCTCCAATAAGTCGTATCTTTTGCCACGATCACTTCTTTCATTTGGATCTTGGACTGTTAAAAATTGTTGTAAAATAAGGCGGTTTGTCTTCAGTATTGTGTTTCTTATCTCATTCATATAGGGAGAATTTCTTTACTTTTATGCATTAATTTTTTGCACAAATAACACTTTCAGGGATTTGGGGATCTAAGTTTTAGCTATTCCTTTTGTAGCTTGTTAATTTGTTTTAAACTGCACATATAAACTCTTAAGAGGGGAGCAATACTGTAGCATTCATTATCCCAGTTCTCCTTCCTCATTAATAAAAGCAGTTCTACTGTATATCCTAATGAATACTGCATTGTTCTGAAATGTGTGAAAGAATTAGAAAAACTGGATTCCTCTTTTGGCTTTTTATTTGCTTTGGCTTAGTAATAGCCTATTTCCCACTTTGACATGTTTTATGTCATCCTTTTTTCAGCAAGCACTTTTTGGGACTTTATGTTCTACAACTTGCTAGAGATCTTCATTTCTTGTCTGGACATTTCCTCAGATGTTTTCTTTTTCTTCTAATTATTTTTCATTGCAAGGTTATGCATTACTTCAGTTGAAAGTTCGAAATACTGTTGCTTCAACACTGCACTTAAACATGCTCTAATTTCTTGCAGCGACAATATCAAACCGATGGTCAGTGTTTAGATTGTTTCGGAATCCAAAGGCCAGAAATGACGGAAACTTTATGTCGTTAGCGGACTTCTTGACATTTGCCAAAAATACAACTTCTGTTTCTGGTGTGATGATCAGCATAGAGGTGAGTTTATTCAGTGACAGTTCCATAGACCTTTATATTATGTTGCACTGACTCTCCGAAACACTGCCGCACCCATATCGAATTCTCCAAAAATACACTGCTTTTGGAGAATTCGACACGCATCCGACGACATTTTCGGAGAGTCCGAGCAACATAGCCTTTATACCAACATTGTTATGCATCAATTAAGTGTAGAATCCTAAATGCTTATATCCACTACTTGTCACTTCTCATTCTGAGTGAGAATTCGGTAGCTTCTTATGCTATCACATTTGTGATTGGATGCGGGGAAATAGGCCAAACTTTCCCATAAAAGATTTTGGATGCATCCAAAGGTGTGGCCTAGTGGTCAATGACGTGGGTGGAGAACCATGAGTCTCCAGTTCAAATTCCAGTGAAGACAAAAAACACTAGGTGATTTCTTCTCATTTGCCCGAGCCTTGGCAGGCATATCTGCCCGGTATTTGTGCTGGTGGGAGGTAGCAGATACCTGGTGAAATGGCCGAGGTACGCACAAGCTGGCCTGGACACACCGTCATTAAAAAACAAATGCTTTAGAAAATGGTATGTTTTCAAAGGGAAACAGATTCACTTTGTGACTAGTATTTTGAAGGTTTAATCCTCTGCAGAATACAGAAAGGATCCCAACATATATCATTCCAGCTACCAAGCATCTCCAATTTTCTGAAATGAAGCAATTTTGATTGCTTGCTCAAACACCATGGCGGTTGCCTTTCTAGTAGCATTATGCTTTAAAGGACTAACAGAAATCATAATAATTTTATTTTCATTACTTAATGAAGGTTATTACCCATTAAATATACAAAGGATTATAAAAGAAAAGAAAAACTGTGACATCACAGTGAAGTGGAAATAATAGTAAAAGTAGTAAAGTAGCCGCATTTTTTGGTTTATTTTGAGAGAAAAATTTAATGTTCATGAACATCATTGTGCAATGAAGGTTTTAACTCCTTGTTCATTATTTTGGAAATATTTTGGCTCCACGCAGAATGCAGCATACCTGGCGAAGCAGGGATTAGGTGTAACTGGTGCTGTTTTGGACGCCTTAAGCAAATCTGGTTACAATAATCAGACAGCTAAGAAAGTTTTGATCCAGTCAACTGACAGTTCTGTTCTGGAAGAATTTAAGAAAAGTAGCTATGAACTTGTTTATGGGGTTGGGGATGATATCCGTGATATTGAGAGCTCAACCATATTGGAGATCAAGACCTTTGCAAAATCTGTTATCATAACTAAGGAATCTGTCTTCCCCAGCGAGGATGCATTTATCATTGCACAAACGAATGTAGTGCAGAAGCTGCAGTCATCAAATCTCACAGTATATGTACAACTCTTCAACAATGAGTTTGTGTCTCAAGCATGGGACTTTTTCTCAGATTCATCTCTTGAGTTAAACAACTATGCTGTTGGAGCTGGCATTGATGGTGTTATTACAGAATACCCTGCCACAGCGGCTAGATACCGAAGTAAGTTATCCATATAGCTTATTATTTCTCGTACTGTGGTCCAATCCCAACCCCTATTCGCCCCTTTCCCTTTTCTTCCTCTTTTAGTTTCTAGATTCATCATCCTGCCTCTGCACAAAGATCATTTAGTATAATGAATCTCTGGTGCAATCTGCTGTATTTGTGTATATTTACCAGAGCTTTTGCTTGGTCATACTCGTTAAGTTGTGTGTACGAAATGCAAGATTACTAGATATTGTCAATACTGACATATACAAATTGTTTGGAATGTACAGGGAACCGTTGTTTAGGGTTAAAAGACTTGCCACCATATATGAGCCCTGTACAACCTGGGAGTCTCCTAGGACTCATTGCTCCTCAGTTTTTGCCACCAGCTGAAGCTCCCAACCCGGTACTCACTGAAAGTGATGTGGTTGAGCCACCTCTTCCACCTGTGGCAAAGATAAACCCATCTAATGCCAATGGGTCAGCTATTGCTCCCACTCCTCCAAATGGCCAATCCTCCGTTGTTGCTAGCATTCTCATGAGCTCTGTTGCAATTCTTCTTGCAACTATTATGGTAGTTTGATGACCATTTCTGCCGCGGTGCCACCATTTTGTACAATTTGTTTCGCCATCTTACTGAACAAACTTATGGTAGTTATGGAGTCACACATGACGGGTAGTCCGATCAGCTCATATAACACGTGATTGTTCCTTGTATTTTCCACGTACCAAATTTTCAGCTTTTGTCTATTCTTTTCATTCTTCCTTGTTTCTATTTTTCATCCCTTTCCTTTTTTTTCATTTTGGGTCAGATTGAGTGGTGTTTCGGGTTATTGCCTATTTATTGTAAGAATTCTGTATTGAATATAAGCAATGATCAAAAGTAGTACTAGTTACAAATGTTATTTTAGTTATATGATCCTTTTCGCCGAAGATCAGTAAAAAATAACACGAGATATTTGTAGGATTATCTTCAATTGTTTCTTATAAGTGGGCCAACGAGATCATCCCTGTTATTTTGATCCATTCATGTCTACAACATTTACTTGCACCGTGCAAACAAACGATAGACCTATTGACTAATGATGTCGATTGGCAGATTCCTCTTTGAAGAGAGAAGAGGCTTGGTAAAAGTTGGGTTATTGTGTGTTACAACTTAAGTTATAAAAAAAACTTTGCAAGTTGAACCAAGAACACTAAAGAGCAACATTCACAAATTTATGGTGCCCTGAATTTTCTTTTTCCTTTAGGCAGTGTCTATTTCCATTGGCAATTGGAGATTCCACTGATGACTGCTTACTACTTACACCCAGTCAAAAAAGAAAGTATGCACATTCCTGATGGAAGACGAACAATTAAAACCAATCAAAATGTCACTGCCCGAGAATGTGAAAAGCCACGGAAATCGCCATCATAAACCAGTGCACAAGTTAGTCGGACAAAGAGGTTCAATGGCATAACTGAATTTACCAGCTTCTTGCTTCCCAGCTTGGTTTCATAAAACAGTGAAGCATGCACCATACTTATTCTGCACTCACTGCTCCGTCAAAGCAATTCCATGAATATTACACCTCAAAGAATTAGGCCCTGCATAGTTTCATCGACTCAATATGAGCACAAATCCTCCAGAATGATGTAGAGGTTGAGCATTCTGAGGGGAGGTGCCTGCCCATTGAACCCTCCCAGTAGCTCAGGATCACAACGCGGAGTTTCAAAAGGTAGAAGTGGTGGTGGAGAAGAATGATCAGCATTTCGATGTTGATTAATTGTAATTGCTCATACGTAGCTGCTTCAACCTAAGCTTGATCATATTTACCTTGCACCCTAGACCATCACCATGTTGGGTGTCTTGTTGTGATAGGTTCATCCATTTCAGGTACCTGCAGTAATTTGGAAAAAAAGGGCCTTAGCATACTAGACCTAATGTTGAGGGCACTCTGCAGGTAACATGCAGGAAGTATACTAGTTTTACCACCCATATACACCTTTAATAGGTGATTACTTCACAGGGAAGATTTACACTTATCTGATCTAGGCAATTCACATCCAACGAAAAAACTTAGGCTGAACTCCGCACTATGAAACAATACAATAATTTAACAACCTTATACTTACCAGAATTTGTATCAACCCGAAATCCAGAAACAAATATCATCCTCAAGTTCAATCACATGCTTGTGAATGGGTGATGTACTGAACTAACAATTAGACCGCAAACCCAGACTGGATCATAGAACAACGGTTCTAAGAAGCAGAGCAAGCCATTACATGAATTCACCACTTCAAAATCCACGTGTGTTAACTTAACATGTATTTCTGGCCATAAGTACGCTTTACTTGTTAGAGATCATGTGGTGAGGTTCATACCCTCCACTAGCAGATCACAAACAACAAAGCCAGATATATCTTTGTTGCAATAGGCTGAGGTGTCAAGATGTAATTTGACAAAGTTAAAGGAGCCGAAACTGCACATACCAAGATTTTCTGAGCAAAACACAATGTTTCAAGGTTGAGTGCTAAACTTAGAAAGATATCATACAACAAAGGATTTCAGACACCAACTGATGCAACAAAGGAGAAAGAATCTAGGATTATACAACAGGGAGAAGGAAACAATTCAAAGCCAAGATAAGAACAATGATGATGACACAGAGGGATGCTCAGCCAAATGTATTGATGGTTAGCAGCATGAGTCACTTGGGTTGCATAAGAAGTACTGCATGCAAGTTCCTCGGTGGATGAATCCCGACTTCAATCAGATGCTTCATGGGTTGCAAACTTGCAATTGAGTAAAACGTGTATTTTTGAAACATTATTGCTTATACAAGACTAATCTCCATTTAAGTTACTGAGCTTTCTTGTAATCCAGACAGATTCTCTGAAGCAAATCCCTGATTGTCATAAAGCAAATAGAAGGTCGAGTCAAAGTCGCGTACTCTCACTTAGCTGCAGGATCTAAAATAGAGCAGAATGCCCCACATCACATTATGCGAGAACATCTAAGAAAGAGATAATAAGAATTATCAAAGGCAACATTGAGTAAAATACTTTTTTTTTTTATAAGTTAGCGTTCTATTTATAGACAGTACTAAGCTGGTACAGCATAATTTACAAAATATCTGGACTTGTTTTGCATCACATGCTCAAAGATTGTAACTAGTCCAGCACGTCATTCATGTTACAAACCAGATCCTAATATGATTTAAAATGGAAGAGGTTGGAGGTGCTGGTGGAGCTTGTACAATGGGCTTTCAAGCTTGCACCGTGAAGTTAGCGGAAGGGGTGGGTTGATTAGTTAACAACTTTTGTTTCTTGCACTTGAGTCCATTTAGCTAGATTGATTTATAATTAAATCACCCCTTGTAAGTTTTTCTTATTTCCCGTTTAGCCCTTAGGTCTTTGCTCACGTCTGAGCTATATGTACTGAGCAGTAGCTCATTTTGGAGACATGAATGAAATTATTAGTTTTTCCTTCTTCTCTTAGCTGTAGCTTTAGTTTCTTTTCTGCATTTTTCGAATCTGTATCAGATCCCCATTCATCCAATAGTACAGATTACGAATAATTATATTTGACAATACAAAAGAATATTGAGCTAAATATTATCAGTCCCTTATGTTAATTTTTGTTATATTTCTTTTTTCCATAGGCTGTAATCTCATCTCGTATGTGATTCAACCAATTAGAGAAACAAGATAACTCATTCATTGTTTGCATAAGTCCCACATAAATTGTTATTACTACCTTATAAGATTAGTTTAATAAATTTCAGGACAACACGGTTAAATTCCACAGATATGATAAAATAAAAAGTTCTGGAGACTTTGTTTTTAACACTCAACAAGAGAAAAATGATAAGATACTCTAAGGAAAAAGGTTACCAATAAATAAAGAGTTAAAAGTTAATCTCTATTGTATTATAAGCAACTGGAGTTGAAAAGAGAAAAAGTACTTCAAGTAAAACGTAATGGCAATTCCAGAAGAAAAACACAAAGGGAGGAGCCTTGGAAGTAAACTATGTTGAACGGGGAAGCAAAAATTTAGCTACAGGAAGGACGTTTAGACAGATTGAGGACTAAAATTAGGGATATAATAGACATGCGTGATTGCCGCAGATGGAGTAGTTTAACACCTTAATTGATTCAGTTCAAGCAGTTAGGTGCTTCTCCAGAGAGTCTTCATATGTTAAAAGTTCTTCGAGTTGTAGAGTTGTAGTAAGTGATCTTTACCTATAAACAATAAACCAAGTATAATTCCACGAGTGAGGTTTGAGGAGGGTAATGTGTACGCAGACCTTACCCCTACCTTATGAAAATAGATAGGTTGTTTCCGGTAGACCCTCGGCTCAAGGAACAGTGAAACTAAAGCAACAAACAATTGCAACATCAAGGTAACGGAGTAATGGAAGCGAATGACACATGTACTAATAACGAACTCCAGTGTCTATCTCCAAACCTCCAACCTAGCATTAACCCCGCATCGCGTCTCGTCAATTAGTACTATATAGCATATACCATGACACCTCCCCTTGTATGTGTCCACCTTTACCTATCATGGGTTGTTATTTCTATTCTTTTTCATCTTTGGTGCTAACCTACATGCTGTATAACTCTACATTCAAAATTAGCTTCTTTCTTTATAACTGTTTGATTTCATCATGTATGTAATAGTAGTAGAGCAAGTATGGCTGTGAAATGGAAATAGCTCAGTGGTAAATATCATTCCTAAGCTGTTAGAAAAGAATGTCACCTGCATATATTAAAAGGCTTTGTACTTATCTAAATTAGGAAATCAACATACAAACTACAGACACAAATTTAAGCTAAAATTAGACGAACCAAGAAGAAAAATGACTGAGAAATCCGAAAAGCTAGCAACAATCAAGCTTACCATAAAAGAAAAACAACAAGAGAGAGAGAGAGAGAGTGAGTTATTTGCCATATTTCTTTCTCAAACGGTCCTTGACGAAGTCATTCCTAGCCTTAGTCCGAGCTTGTTGAGGGGCTATATACTTATAAGAATAGTGTACCCCAAAAGCAAAGAGAGCACCACCACCAACAAAGCACGCCATTGTGGCACCAAACTTGGCAGGGGATGAGGGGTAGCAGAATACCATCTCGGGTTCGGTGATGTTGTTGTTCAAAAATGGTAACACTAATCTATAGTATGAGTTTATACAAAGAATCACACGAAATATCAGAGAACAAAGGGAAATCTTGAATAATGGATTCGACTTTTAAGAATTGAAAAACTCTACAGAGGAACCTCATAAATTGCTCACAAGACAGAGATCTGGGAGAACAAGTGACGATTCTTCTTCTGCGTCGGATCATCATGAGCACCCGGGGCTTTTCGGGTAGGCCCGACAACCCAAAGTTGGTCTGGATCATAGAGGCATAGCTCAGATCAGACAAGCCCAGCCCATTTCTTACAACTGATATTCTGTTTTTTTCTTTCTTTTCCAGGGAGTGCAGAGTTCGAATAATTCATTCTTGGAAAAATTACATTGTATAGCCGTTGTAAAAATAATAGTCGAAAAAATATATAAAATTTATATATTTTTTGTATATATTTACATTCTGTGTGTTATATACAATAATTATACAAACTTTATACATTTTTTGGCTACCAAATGTAAATAGTTTACTGACACGGGCTAAAAGTGATAATACCCCAATATTCTTTGACTAAAAGTTACGAAAATTCTTTGCCTGGATTCATTTTTTTTTTCCTGCTTTCAGTGGTATTGAAAGTTGAAACCTTCATAGAGTTGCAACCTTGATAACTTAAATTTCTTCATTATCTTTTTTCCCCCAACATTTTGACAAAAATAGCACGGGCTAACCAGTTTTCGGACTGGTCATTCAAAAATAGTCAGTGTTTGTAAAGTTTGCTACAACATAGAAAGTTCCAGCATAATATACTGGAGATTTGTGCACCTATGTATGAACTTCCAGCATATTATGCTGGAACTCCAACACGCGGAAAGTTCCAGTATAATATACTGGAGTTCCAGTATATTATACTGAAGTATTTTTCTGGATTTTGAACAGTATTTTTGTTCAGATTTATCTTTACTTGAAAAGTGACTAAATTTTGATTACTTTTGAAACTGTGACTATTTTTGAATGATCACTTGTAAATCTGGCTATTTTTGAATTTCTTCCCAACATTTTCCGTGAATAGACATAGTAGTCTGTAAAATTGTCATCCATATAGTATCAAATGGTAGGGTGATTAACGATATTTGTAATTTCTAACAGGACATAATAACAGTGTCCCTTTTTAATCCCCTTATTCAATTTTTTATGGTTATAAATTGTGAAAACCTCAATTATTGCCAGAAATGGCCTAAAGTTAAGAATAAAATTCTAAAATGCTTTTACCTCAATTATTAATGCCTGTTACTCCTTTTCTTTCACAAAACATTTACGCTGTTCAGGAAACTAACAGGGGAGTTCTTACTAGAATGCATATGCTCATACTACACAACATGCATGAGCCAACAAACTAGATTCTCTCCCAATTCATTTATGGCAAATTCAGGAACATGGTCGTTACAACTTACATGTTATATAAAGTTGTTAGCAGACATTAATAAATTTGAAAAATTATGTTCTACACCATATACGCACGTCCTTCTGAATCAATTCTCCGCTCTTTCAAATAATTTGAACAGAGATATATGCCACTCTACTGCAATTAGTATTCGTTGATCAGCACCATATCAGAAAAACAGAAAAAAAAATTATTTGTTTGTATGATTCGTAAAACAATGACCCATATACTAAAGCATTTACGGTTCTCCAGAGCAGGTTGTTGGTTTCGTTACTATTCTTCAACATAGTTTTTGGAAATTATATGAGTTGTCTTATGCGCGCAGTTGGTGTCTTATATAGTTCTCCTGAAGCAGTAGGTGTAGGGGGGAACTTATGCAGTTCTCCTGAGAAAAGAGGTCCTATCGCTTCAAGTTCTGCAATTTCTTTCACAACTTGAGCTTTATCAGCCTCGAATTGTTCATCTTCTGCAAACAAACAAAACTCTGTAATTATATATACCATTCCGCAACATAGATGATATCATCCAAGATATTGGTTGGTGAAGCAAAATTTACTACCTTTATCAATCCTGAAGCTTGCAAAGAAGCGCAAAAGCTTGCTTCTGTTGGCCACGAGTATGTTGACAATGTCAGAAGGTTTATTTCTATTGGCAACAAAAAGCTGTCACCAAAATATAAAGACAAGCACAAAGAAGTGAATAGGAGTGATACATGAGCACTAGGTAAGTTAATAATCAAATGCATGAAGTGTAACCTTAAACACGTGGAATGCATCTAGCTGAATGTTCTTGCTAGACTCCTGAAACATGGAAAGACCCACCAACAAAGTTAAAGAACAGTAAGTGAGTAGTATAACAAGAAGGTCAAGCAGATGCATCAAATCAATGTAATGAAATAGTAACACTTGCCACTTGCAAAAAATCTTCCAAACGGACATGAACTAGCCAAATGAATGTTAATCTCATGATAGAAACATATAACAAACACACCTTTTGTATGACTTATATCAGCTACATTTTATGAGAGGATTGCTTTCGTCACAGAGAAGTGTACTCCCTTATATAAGTTTTAATCTTCTAAAACATGAATCAAATGATCAAAGGAAGTTATTCCATCATTATCTGTATTGTTACCCAGAGAATTCATATGATGTTGCGTTCAGAGGGAAAATAACTACAACTTGTGGCACGTTGGTATAATGACATACCCTCAAAAGATTCATCAAAATCCTTAAATTATCCTTTGAGCTAACATAGCGTGTCATCACAGGAGAATTTGAGCGATCAAGCAAAATATCTCCCAAAAGCTGAAAAAATAGATAATTGTGGGTTAGGCAAGTGATTTATTTATAAGCATATTAAAACTGTTACCTTGATAAAATATAGCAGCACAATTACTTAATGGGTGCAAAGTACAAAGGAAAATCATTGAAACTCCAGCTAAACCAGCATCAAATCAAAATTGACTGCTTTAAAACGAGAATACGACTAAAAAGTCTTAATATCTATTTTACCTTGATAGCTTGTCTTCTGGTAATGTAGTTTGCTGATTCCAAAAGCTTTGCATTAAACTCAGTAAAGAACTATAACAAAAAAAATGGATGAAATATTACACTAGTATGTTGTAGGATGAAGTTGGCACTAATGAAGGTTAGAAACATAAAGAAAACCATACAAGTGAAAAGTGAGGATCATAACATACCCAATCATAATTTTCAAAGAGAAATTCAGCAACTGTGGACTTATGCCTGGTCATAAGCTCCTGCAGCAAGTTGCAAAAGAAATTAAAGATACACATTTGAGTAACAGTACGAATACTCAGTGGCTGACAGGAATACTTCATTGCTAACATAAATAAACAGTACCAAAAATTTTACTATCATAAAACTGGTGAAATAAGACACCAAGATGGTTTTTTTTGTATTCGGGCAATGTTTAAGTCTATTTTACTTTCAAGAAAGTATGTGAATCCTCCATAACCTATAAAACTATCTCATCTAAAACTTAACTTGTGAGAGAGGAGAAATTAATTATTTTAATAATTCTCTTCAAGATGCCACAACTCCAAGTCAGATATTTTTCACAAAGGTCGAACACACGAAGATTCATTTAGTATGCTCCATTGTCATGTTGATCACTGTTACCTCGTCAAGAAATCTAAGAAGTTAGGAACGCTAGAGCTTTTTTGTATTTTTATATACGAAAAATTAACACTTCGAAAGATGTAGCAATTTCAAAATATTCACATGACTTCATCATAAAAAAGCACAGCCCAGTGCACTAACTTTATCACTAAATGGTGAGATAAATTAGGTGCACATCAATACACTGCAAGCACATATACTTTCACACTAAACAGCTAATGAAGAATTGCATTCCCTAAACATCAAAGAAAAAAGAGCTCGTATACAAGTCTTTTCTGCCAATTCATTAACAAAATTTTATTACTTAATTAAAAAGACCAAAGAAAGAAGACCAAAATTAATACTTCCTCTGTTTAAAGTAGAATGAACCTATTACTATTTGGGGAGTCAAACAAGATTTTTTTAACCATATTTTTTTCAAATAATTTTTAAATATTTTCAATTGTTAGCTATTATGACTTATAGTACTTTTTATGTAGTTTCTAAATATGTAAACTTTATCTCAAAAAACTAAAAAAATTTAAGCTCGAATTCAGATCGAAAATTGGTCATTTTGACCCTCGTACTCCGAAAATGTTCAAACAAATTAAAACACAGGGAGTATAATATTCTTAGCAGATCATGCACCAACGTTTAACATCAGGTAGATCTGTAGAGAAGTGCATTACAATATGACCAAATATCATTAAAAATAGAGATTAATGGAACCTATGTTGCGCGGACTCTCCAAAATGTTGCCTCACCCGTGTCGGATTTTCCAAAAATACACTACTTTTGAAGTATCTGACACGCACCCTGCAACATTTTCGGAGAGTCCGAGCAACATAGAATGGAACATGCTGAGAGAGAAATAATAACCTTAAAGGTCGCTGTAGCATCTGCTGCGACATCAAATTCTGGGATTTGCATGTAGTCAAAGAACCTTTTCATATGCTCCGACCTTAGCACATATCTGCAAATATTTTGACAAATTATGGGAAACTACCCATAGACACTGATAAAGCAAACAATATAAAATTAATCAGAGAATAATAGCACACATTAAAAGAAAAGAAAGAAGTGCAAGTTGTTGGAAACAAAAAGGAAAGAACCACAACTATTCATTGGAAAGTAACAAGGAACCTTGGAATAATTAAAGAAACAAAACAAAGCTAGTGATCGGAACAACTTTCAATTAAGATACTGGTAGTGTTTCATAAGCTGCTAACCTTGCAACAACTTGATGTCGAATGCACTCTCTCAACATTGCTCCATAATGCAAAGCAAGACCAGGATCGTCATACCTATAACAACTACAGTTAGAAAAGAGTTTCCTTCTCCGTATTCAACTTCTTTCCCTAACATGTACCATGATTGAATAAGCTTAACCATAGACATCTAGATGATTCTCATAGATATACTAGGGTGACAAATAAAACCTTCAGTAAGGGAGACCATACACTAACTAAAGGTACTGAGTAAATATATAAAACATATTCAAAATGTTTTACTTTCGACAAACAGACCGTGCTTCAGTTAAAGATTAGGAGGAAGAGAAGCTTAGTTAGATAAAACAAAATCCAATAAACTTGGAAAAGAAAAAGGAGAAAAAATTAGGATTAGCTTACCCAGATACCAAATGATCCATAAGGTCCGGGTTGGCTTCCAAGTAATCAGAAGCAATCAAACGTGAATTAACTGGTTGCCTTTGCAAATTCGCAACAATTCGCGTGGCATCTTTACGGGCCTAAGCAAAGAATTATCATTTTCGTGACATGTCCCAGCAAAAGAACAAGGTAAAACGTCCTTTCACTAGAAACAATGGATAGCAGAAAGCCTAAAGTGTCTTCAAAAAGGGAGCAAATTATAGAGTAGTAAGATCTTGAAGCTTAGCTCGTAACAGTATTAATTGTAAACATACTCACCTCCAAGTTCAATTTAGGAAGACAAAGGATGATGAGACGCAGTGTATTATCTCGAAAAAGTTCCTGAGTCAGTTGCGCACAGGCTTCAACAGCAGGTTCACATTCATTACTGCCATACAAGATTGATTTCATCTCATGTAAAAGAGAATCCAATTCTTGCATCTGAAAGCATTATGTATTATCAGAGACACAAAAAACTAAATTTTATGAAATAGCATGCAATTGAAGGTTCTAATAACACAACTCATGTATACCTCTAACAAAGACTTAAATGGACGAACCAGTTCCCCCACTAAAAAGAAAACACAAACGAAAACTTTTACAAAACTAGACATAATTCATGTCTGATATCTATGATACGAACTACTTTACTGAAAGGATGTTAGAAATGAACTTTAATACTGTTCTATTTTCACAAACCCAGGATTATCCTTCAATCTCTCTCCTCTAGTAATCTTCATATAACGTTATAATACTTGTAGGCATGGAGCCTTTGGAATTGGCATTCGATTTTCAAATTCTTTTTATATTTAATCTCAACCATGCTCAGAAAATCCTTTTAATTATCCCCCAGGAACATTGACTTGATACATTAAGCACTAAATAAAAATTAGACACATTAAGAGACAAAATGGAACTCTTTGAAAAAGATAATTTAAAATGCACCCAATCCAACTTTTCCCTCCCGGGGTACATTTTGTCTGAAACTTTAAAGAAGATAAAGTATTAACATAGCTAGGTTAAAACAAAGACAATTATTTGTATTCTAATGACGGTGGTGTCTGATCAAGTCGGGCACACCTCTACCAAGTACCAACCAAACAAGGATAATAAGAATTCTAAGGGGAAAAATAAATGCATTTTAGAAGCAAAGGCACGTAACTTTCACGTACCTTATCAAAACGCTTGGGATCAACATTGCAGTCAAGGGCAGCCAGTAGGAACGTCACCCGGCGAACAACATCAATAGGAGTCTTAGGCGGCTTAGTTTTGGATTTGAAGATGGATTTAACACCGGTGGAACGTAACGCTTTAGTAAATAACTTCTTCAAATTATTTGAAGATCGTTTCACGGTCTCGTGGGATCCTTTTTCCCCTTTCTCTAATCCTGGGGTTTTATCGGCGGCGATTTGAGTCGCCAGCATCGGCATTATATTGTAATATACAGGGCGGTAGAGATGATGGGGAAGGGTTGATTTGAATGTGGAAAACCCCAAGATTCCACTTTTTTGCAAATTGGCAATGCCAAGGCCATTCACTCAAATCTAATGCGTAAATAAAGAAGATTGCTTTTCCTAGTACTAGTAGGATTGGAAATTTTGGAAAAAGAAAAAGGATAAGTACGAAAATCAGAATAACAGGAGAATTTGGGATTATGTGGGATTCCACATTGGATGTCAGCCACCGGAAAATTTCACCACCCTCCTCCTCCGATAAACTTGTACTTCTGCATATATATGATAATAGTATATTGCTTTCTGCAACTTTTCTTTTTCCGTTTTTGCCTTTTTCTCTCTAATAAAATAAAATATTGCTATTTTTAGCCTTGTATAGTTTCAAAGGGCTTTCTTTCCGACTTTGAATTCATATTGGATGTTTATTTATACTAAATTATATTGTACTAATCTAATATAATTAAGTACTAAATTAAGGTAAAAGTATTTATTAATTAATAAATAATTAAGTGTCAACATTAATGTATATAAGGTCACTTGTCAGTTGTCATATAATCATCAAATTAGTATAAATATCACATGTGAGGTAATTTTTCGACTTTGATGTCGTGGTAATACAAGATTTCTATTTTCTTAAGTATAAAAAGTTCAATATGCAATTTATGTTTCGGTTTGAATAATTTGTTAAAAACATGTTCACTTATTTTGCTGATTTATTTTTGTTGTAATGTGTTACTAATAGTTTTTTTTTTTACTTTTGTTTAACCATCCGCATTTGACTAATCTGCATTCGAATTATGCAAGGCCTATTAAAGGGAAATTATTTTATGCTAGAAATTTCTCCTATGTCAAGGAGCTCGAACTCGAAATTTTTAATTAAATTTGAGGGATTTCATCCATCCCATCATATTTCTAGATTATAAAATATCGATTGGTTAAGTAAAAAGTAAAAAGATTTGTGATCTTTTCACAAGTACTATTTTGCTCTTGATTAAATATCCTTTCTGGCGAAGCCAGAAATGTTTCCAAGGATATTCAAACTTGAAAGAAGTAGAAAAAAAATTCCGACAAAGGGTGCTCAATATAGATTTTATATATATATAATCAACATTTTACTTATATACACAATGTAATTTTTCGTAACTTTTCAGCGAAGGGTGATCAGTTGACCATCCTCTGCTAAAGGTGGCTTCGCCCACACGTCTTTTGATTTACCATTATGGTTTACGAAAATCTTGGTTTTTAGGCTAATGACTATTTTCTCAGCTTCAATTTGTGATTAATTAGTATGATCGTACCTTGTTAGAGAATATTATTTTTGTTTCTTATTCTGTAATTTTTCCTTTAGTCCATTTCTTTTGCTCGTCTATTTTTCTCTCTCTTAATTCTATTCATGATTAGCAATTTTTGTTCCCAACGTCTCATATCTTTCGAATTCTTGCTTCATGACTTTCTTCACTCTCTGTTGAATTCAGGGGGTGTGGGGGAGTGGTTTGACAAGTAAAGAGTGATATGCGTTACAATTTAAGGTCCTCATTGTCGCACCACCTTTTTCCGTCTCCGCGAGGGGTGAAGGAGTTTTTTTCAATTAAAGGACAATCGAAACGGGATTTGTTTATTTATTTTAGAGTCGTCACTTGGGAGATTTAGGGTATCCCAAGTCACCAATTTTAATCCCGAATCGAGGAAAAGAATGACTCTGTATTACAGTCTGCGAACCAGAAATCCGAATAAGGAATTCTGTTAACCCGGGAAAAGGTGTTAGGCATTCCCGAGTTCCGTGGTTCTAGCACGGTCGCTCAACTGTTATATTCGGCTTGATTATCTGATATAATACATATTATAAACTTATGTGCAAATTTTATCCTTTAGCTGCTTTTATTATTTTTATTTATTGTTATTATTTTACGGAGAATTGCAACATTGTGAAAACGTATTTCAAACCACGTCGCAATCAATGCACCCGTGGTTATCGACACATTTCGACTCCGTTGAGATTTGGATTTGGGTTACATAAATGCACACCCATATTTAAGAAAATAATTTGTTAAAGACGCGCCTAGAGCGACTAGCGTATTGTTGTTTTGGGAAAGGCCGTAAAATTTCACTAGACGGCCAACTCCGATGTTCTAAATAATTAATGCATACATTTGTGAGGGCCCCGCAATCTATATATTTTACTAGGCGAGGCTCATCTCATTTATTTTAAATGGACAAATCTTAAAGCGACTACATTTTTCTATTAAAATTAGTCTCTAAAATAAAGAAAGAAAATCCTAATTAATTACGAGCTTTATTTATTTATTTATTTAAGAAAGCATGGCATACTAATTGCTAGATTAATACAAATATTGCTGAAAAGGAATTTTACTCAAAAATTAGAAATTATAAATAAAATAAAAATTCGACAACTAATATTTAAAAGAATCAAATATAGCTAGATTANGCACACCCATATTTAAGAAAAATAATTTGTTAAAGACGCGCCTAGAGCGACTAGCGTATTGTTGTTTTGGGAAAGGCCGTAAAATTTCACTAGACGACCAACTCCGATGTTCTAAATAATTAATGCATACATTTGTGAGGGCCCCGCAATCTATATATTTTACTAGGCGAGGCTCGTCTCATTTATTTTAAATGGACAAATCTTAAAGCAACTATATTTTTCTATTAAAATTAGTCTCTAAAATAAAGAAAGAAAATCCTAATTAATTACGAGCTTTATTTATTTATTTATTTAAGAAAGCATGGCATACTAATTGCTAGATTAATACAAATATTGCTGAAAAGGAATTTTACTCAAAAATTAGAAATTATAAATAAAATAAAAATTCGACAACTAATATTTAAAAGAATCAAATATAGCTAGATTAAAACTCGCATTGTTATAAAAAAAAAACTATTGAGATTAATTATTCACAACCATTTGAAACTATATTTAACCATAATTACTAATGCTTATTAGAAAGTTTATTAAACTTAAACGTTCTTCTAATCTTGTTTGAACTCAAATCGTGCCTTAATGCCTAATTCACGAAATTCAGTTTAAATTCATACCTTAGCTAAATTTAGCTACTTGTTCACGATTAACCTACTGTTGATAATCTTAAAACCTTCATAACTAGTGAATTAACCCGTTTTGCGAAACTGATTCATTAAAGACTAACTTATGTTATTTTCTCTTATTCCAATTATTATTCAGTAATACATGAAATAGCCTAAATACAATCAATAAAAGGAACAACGAAAAGCGACATTAAAATTTCAAAATTCAATTCTTCATATGTATTTATGCTTCCACATTATTAGCTTGCAATAGCTAGTGTTACAATCGTGTACCTGATATTGGAAGCAAAAGAAAAGGGAGATCAGCAGAAATTCAGTAGCATACAACAACAGCAAC